GACCTTGTGCTTGAGAGGCAGGCACAGTGCCCCTGAGCTAAATCCCCGGCCCCATAAGGCCTTTAATTTTCTTTTTTTTTCTGTTTTTTTTGGTACTGGGGATCGAACTTGGGTCCTTGCGCTTGTGGGGCAGGCGGCGGAAAGGGCCTTTAATTTTTTAAAAAAATAATCATTCAAAAAATTTCAAAACTGTCAACATTGAGGCATATTCACCTCACATTTCTGTATTGCAGTCTTTCCCTGGCCTTTAAGTTCTGTGGTGACTGCTTTATCACTTACGGACTTGGTTTGGCTGCTTTAACAGAGTTTAAATAATAGTAGATTACACAAGAAAGAAGCTTATTTCTCTCTTGAGAAATAAAAAAAGTCTGAGTTGTCATGCCATTTGGGGGAGGGGGAGCCCAGGCATACTCCGGTCTCTCCATTGTCCGTTAGCGTGTTCCCATTTTGCATGGTTGCAGAAGGCACAAGGAGGTAGAGGTCGAGGCCGTCAACATAGGAGTCAACGAATGTTTTCTGTAAGGGCTCAGGGAATAAAAAATGAAGGCTTTGTAAGCCACGTGTGTTCCAGTGCATGTTCTTTTTGTTTGTTTAAAACCCTTTAAAACTGTAAAAATTATTCTTAAAGCCCTTACAAAATCTAGACCCCAGGCTAGATTCATCACACTTGGTATTATTTTGCCAAAAGCTGTTTTAAGGGCATTATGTACAAATTGCATACTTTCTCACTTTTAAAATAGGGTCAATAAAAGCATCTATTTCAGAAGGTTGTCATGAAGATTAAAGTGAGATAATATATTCAGCCTGACAAAAATTAAGTACCCAGATATGATAACTGTTTTTGTTAATATAATTTATGTTTAATACCACTTATGAAAGAGAATTAGTACATTTTTTAAGCTCCTGATTTCTGACTGATTATGACATTTATCATTGTCACAGTTATCTAGCCAAGCACTATATTTAAATCAGTGCTCAAGTCCCTCTGTGATAGTTTCTGTTTCTCTGAATTATTAATTTTGATAATATAAGCTATTGGCTAAGGTTGCATTATAAGTGGGTTTTTAAAGAAAGTATTGTATTCCAAGTTTTTGTGTGCCTGAGAAAGCCTTAATAGGTTTTTATATCTAAAGGATAACTTAGAAGAGTATAAAATTTGTGTGTTGTCTTTCCTATAGAGTTTTTAGAATTATCTGACTGTAAAGTCGAAAGTCAGTTTGATTTTTCTTCCCTGGTGTGTCTTGCGTTTTCTGCCTGGAGACCCATGTGATTCTTTTTTTTTTTTTTTTTTTAATTGATGTTTGGGGAGGTTGCTTGTATAGCTTTTCATATGTCATGGACCCTTTTGAAATGTAGAGTTGGGTTTTGTTTTTGATTTTATATTTCAGGAATATTTTCTTGCATTCTCCCTTCAAAAATTTCTTCTGTTCTATTTGTTGTTGTCAGGGATTCCATTATGCATATCAAATCTCTTATCTGCCTTCTCTATTTTGTTTGTGGTACTGGGGAACAAACCCAGGGGTGCTCTACCACTGAGCTACATTTCCAGACCTTTTTATTTTTGGAGACAGAGTCTTGCTTAATTGCCCATACTGTCCTCAAATTTGGCAATCTCCTGCCTTAGTCTCTCCAGTAGCTGGGATTATAGGAATGTGCTTGGCTTTAATTAATTAATTAATTTTTAATTTTTTTGGTACCAGGGATTGAACCCAGGACCTTGCGCTTGTGAGGCAGGCGTGGTGTGACTGAGCTAAATCCCCAGCCCAATATTTATTTTTTTAAAACAAAGCCTTATGGTACATTTTCTTCTAGTCTGTTTACAATGACCCCTTCAGTGTACTTTTAGTTATTTTTTGTTTCCTTTAATTGGAATTCGGTTTCTAAAATTTTTTGTGTGTGATTTTTATTTTTTTCAGATAAGGTCTTGCTATTTAGTTCAGGCTGGCTTTGAACTCCTGGCAATCTTCCTGCCTCATCCTCCTGACTGTTGGGATTACAAGCATGCACTACCATGCCCAGTGTGATTTTTTTGGTGGGGGGGATCGACCTTGGAACCTTGCGCTTGCAAGGCAGGCTAGGTGGCAGAACCATTGAGCTAAATCCCTGGCCCTTGAGGTCTTTTTAAAGGAAGCTCATATCTGTAACATCTGTGAGATTAGTGCAGGACCTTTCTCCTTTTCTCTTCCTCTTTGTTTAATTTTGTTTGTGATGTGTTTTCTCTACCTGTCTGTTGCTTATTGTCCCTTCCCTGTTTGGATTTTGGGCAGTGTGTGTTATATGGGTCCTGTGCTGGTTTTTTGATTGTCCACCCAGTACAGAACGGGTTTATAGTGCGGGGAGGAATAGCTGTGGAGATTTACAGCTTTATTCAGATTTGTTGACTCAAATGCTTTGTTATCTTTGCTGTGGGAGCACGTTCATGTGTTGGTATTCTGGGATCATCGGGATCCCTACAAAGTACAGTTGTCTCTCGTGTGGGAAGAGGATGCAGAAATCTGCGGATGCTCACTGTCGCTTATGTAAAATGGCATAGTGTTTGTACAGAACCTGCACACATCTGCGGTATGCTTTAGATCATCTCGAGATTACTTATGCTGCCTAACACAGTATAAACACTATGTAAATTGTTGTATTGTATAGGAAATGACAAGAAAATCGGTCTGTATGTGTGCGGTGCAGATGCTTTTTTTCCTGAGTATTTTTCACCTGCGGTTGGTTGAATCTGTAGGTGTGGCCCTGCAGATGTGGAGGGCGACTTACCGTTACTTTTCAGAGGGTTAAGAAGGCTCCCTCTTCCTTGTCCCTTACCTCATCTGCCTCAGCCAGCTGGGTGGCATGTACAACAGAAAGGAGCTTCAGAATGAGGTGCACAGGGGCTCGTTGTGGTGGCCCCAACCCCAGGGCCTGTCCTTGGACACCTGTGTCCCAGTCTCGCCTTGCTGAAGTTCATGACCTTTCACTTCTGTGACTCTGACCTGCAGGGCTTTCTGCTTCCCGCTGCAGCTGAGTACATCTGTGTCAGGCTCCAGCTGCCTCTCTACGCTGGTGCAGCTTTGCTGACATGAAAGCCGAGATGTCTGAAGCACACCACACAGCATGCGATCTCCGTCACACAAGATAGCATGTTGCGCTGTGACTGCCAAGGACTGGGTTCTTTGTCCCTTGTGTTTGTTTCCTATAATGCTGCCAAACTCACTTTAAAAACTTTAACCCCCCCCACAAAAAAAAACCCCAAGAGGCTTTCGAGCGTAAATCGGGGTGGAAACACTCCCTTTGTTTTATGTGTAGAGATTTTCCACTTTTGCTTAGCTGTTGGTTTTGGTGACTTTTGAGTAAGGGAGGAAAAAGACACCCCCCTGATGGATTTAAATCTCATAGTTTTATGCTTTATTTTGAAAAAAAAATTTTTTTTTCCGAGGCAGGCGCCAGAACCACTGAACTACCCAGCCCTATTTTTTTTTGGTACCAGGGATCGAACTTGAGTCCTTGCACTTGCGAGGCAGGCGGTGGAACCACTGAGCTACATCCCCGGCCCGGAAATTTTAAGAGTACAGCATTATAACTCAGAATTGACCATTTTTGCCACCCTCAAGTTTTTTTCCTCTTTTAAGAGAAAGCTAGTTTAACAGGTACAGCTGAGAGGACTCTTGACTCTCTGTGTTTTAAAATACAAATACACATATCTTAAAACACTGCAAAGCTTGTTTAATGTTTCAAACACTTAACCAGATGGTACCCTATTGTTTGATTGTTGTGCAGCCTGTGTTTCTCCACTTCCCATTGTTTATGAAGTCTGTTTTGATACACATGCTTGTTTTCGCTCTTCCTCTTCACTGTTGCACGTTGTTCCACCATCTGACTGCGTCATACTCCTTTGTTCCATAAGGCGTCCTAGGCCACCCTCGCCCAGGCCTTCACTGTATGTGGAAGGGTTTCTCATTGAGAAGTACTGCTCAGGCGTGGAACAGCAGTGCCTTTTGATTTTTACCAACTACTATTTCTCATTGAGAAGTACTGCTCAGGTGTGGAACAATGGTGCCTTTTGACTTTTACCAACTACTAACTACTTAGTACTACTTCTGCTCACCATTGTGCACCTAGGTGATGGTCCCCTTTACCCTCCAGCTGAGGGTGGATGTTCCTATGTGGATTCCGCGTGTGCAGTGGGAACCCTCCCTGCTGTTTGCACTTTCCCGAGCTGACTTGGAACGAATGCGACATTAAAGAATGATGCTTATTTGATGGATTAGATTTTCAGCTGTGTGTAGGTGAACATTGGAATAGAAGGGTAATATATTACCTAACCAGAAGTCTTACCGCATATAGTCTCTGCCCCATATTTGACATGAGATTATATTTCTACAGGTTTTCTGTGCTCCCCTCACCCCAAGGCATCATCAGAACACAATTAAAGTTTAAAGGTGTTGAGTCTTTTTCTGGGGGTGAAGGAGATGGGGCAGAGTGTGTTATTATGTCTGGTAAGAGCGCTGCTGACTCTCGGCCCATGTGTGATTTCTACTTGGAGTCAGTATATTTTTGGAGCTCTTTTCCCACCTTTTTACCTGAAAATCATTAAAATGGTTGCAAATGAACTCTGAAATGATTAATGCTAATGTGAGGAGGGAAGTGTGACTTCTCAGGTGTGTTTGGTTCAGTACAGTAAGTGGTGAATGCCTGACTGTGTGCTTTTGGTTTGTGTGGTTCAAATGTACTTTTCCCGCACATGGTGCATCTCCATCGAAGAGGTGAGTTCCCTGGCTGCGTGGTCAATCAATCAGCATTCTCAAAGGTCTAACCTGTCTTTTTTTCCCTTCCACTTGGTCAAGTGCCATTTTTGTTTCTTCATTCCTTAAAAAAAGGTCACAATCTTGGTTGGGGATTTAGCTTAGTGGTCCCGCCACCTGCCTTGCAAGCGCAAGGTCCCGAGTTCGATCTCCGGTACCAAAAAAAAAAAAAAGGTCACAATCCCTCATGTTTGTACTTTTCCACCTTTCTTTCAGAAAAGCAAGAGGAAAGGGCACGAATATACCAATATTAAGTATTCCCTAGCGGACCAGGCAAGTGGCGATCAGAGTCCCCTCCCACCGTGTACGCCAACACCACCCTGTGCAGAGTAAGTATTGATGAGGGAACTTCTTTTTACCCAGACCCAATGCTATAAAAAGGCTTCACGACAACAGCAGCAGAGAGTGCAGTGAGGCAGCTTCTCTGGATTGTGCTGATGCTGTCTAAGCCACATCTTTTTCCTAAACTGAAGCCTGGCTCTGTGCTAACTGGGGTGATGGAGATTCTAAGCTTGTCAAGGAGAATCTGAGTTTGCTTTTGCAGGGGCGAGGGTTGTTGCAGAGGGAGGTAACATCCCTTGTGATGCGTTGAGACTCTGTTCAATAAGGTAAATAAATTAGCTGATAACCTGTCAGTACAACCACAGCCTGCTGATTTTCCAACAGTCAGCCAAAATCTGCTTTGGGTCAGCAAATTACAGCCCACGGGCCAAATCTAAAAACAAAACAAAACTTCAAAGAGTAATATGTGACAAAGATCATGTGTGGCCCCAGAGCCTAAAATACTCAGTTCTTTCCCGAAAAACTTTGTCACCTCCTTGTTTAAATCAAAGCACTGTAGGACAACATTTGTTAAATTGATCATGCGAATAGCAGTTTTAAGTTATTATCTTTCTATGTATTCTAAAGTCACCTTCTCATTTAACATTTACTTTTTATTTTCCCCTAAGAATCTTGTCTCTCTTTGCTCCTGGTGTGGATTTTTAAAGCCCAGCTGACTTTAATATTGTATCTAAACGTTTCAGAGAGCAGATAAAGGCTTGTATTTACCTTGGCTTTCTGTTTGCATTGAAATGAGATGATGCAGCAGAAGCCTTCTCCCCTCCAAGTTGCCTCTTCCTTCTGCCTGCTTTTTCTGTCCCAGTGGGCTGACTGGGAAAGTTGATATTTTAAATCACTATCTGCAGTAATTTTGGCAACGGAGCCAGAGCACCAGAAAACCTTCCTCTCATGCCGAGTGACAGGGTGGGCCGGCCTGAGACGGGCTCTCCGCCTCTGCTGTCCCAGAGCCCCTCTTCGCCTGGCACTCACAGCTCAGGGCGCCTCATCTGCCTGGACCACTTTGATCCCTGCTCTGTACCCAACAGAAACCTGGGCTCCTTGTTGGAACTCGACAACCTAGATGGTAAAATTCCTGTCACCTTTCACAGGACCTGGGCTGAGGCTGCTCACTGCTCAGCTGCTCCCCAACTTTCCCGTCTTGGTGCTCTCACCTGTACCCACCCCTCTGCTGGCAGTGACCAGGGCTCCTTTCTGTATGTAATGTCCCACCCCCTTGGCAGTACCTTGGTGCCTCCTCCTGCAGGCCTCCTGGCCCTGCCCACCTGGAATATAGCCTGCTTCTCCCACACCTCTGCCTGCCCTGGCCCTCGAGGGTCCTGGTCGCCTTTCCATGTCACCATGATATTGCTGTGTGTCTGTGTCTTATGTCCCTCCAACAGCATCAGCTCCTGGGGACAGGAAGGGGCCCACAGGACAAAGTGTGTGCTGTGTGAGTGTCATGTAAGTTGGTGTGCAAGGCCTGCAGTTCTGTGAGTGCCTCCCTTTTCTTTTCCATGCAGAATGAGAGAAGACAATGCCAGAGTCTATGAGAACGTGGGCTTGATGCAGCAGCAGAAGAGCTTCAGATGAGAAGACTTGCCGAAATGTCAGTACAGAGAGAGGTATTTCAGTGCCACTGCTCCCTCAGTGGCTTGTTTATATAATTTGCATCATTTTAAAGCAGGGAAGTAAGTCATTTGTGAACATCCCTGAAAAATGTTCCATGATTGAGTTTTGCAATCCAGCCTCCTTTCTCCTCGCCCTGTACTTCTTTCTTCAAATGGATTTAGTTTACAGTTCGTTAAGCATTAAAATGACATACAGAATTAACTGTGCAAGGGGTAAGGTAGCACTTGGTCCAGGAAGTGACGGATTGTGGTGGCAAAGAGCGGCTGTCACTGTTCTAGCAGTTTGCACGAGGGCTGCTTTACCAGGCTGCGCCGGATGATCTGTCGGCATCCGGGAGCACTGGGACACTGTTCCACGTGGTGGTGGGGTCAGGATACCCGAGTTCCCTTCCCAAGTGGCTTCTGAGTTTCTGTGAGACTTGGGATGCTGGGCTCCTGGCCTCTGACTGAGTCAGCTCCGCATCCCTGGCAGCTGTGCTGCCGGGAATTGATCTCCCCGAGTGTCTCTGCCCACCCACTTTTATAGATCAGGATGCAAGTGTGTGATATGTGTCTTAATGATGAGTGAGAATCGTCCAGTGTTGTTTTTTCATGTTGAAATTTCCATCTCTATGGCTGCATATTCAGAAACTTTAAATCAGCTGGGCATGTACTTGTCATCCTCCTACTCTGGGGGGCTGAGGCAGGAAGACTGCAAGTTTGAGCCCAGCCTCGGGAACTTAGTGACTTAGCAAGACCATATCTCAAAAGAGAAGGGATGGGAGCTGAGGATGTGGCCTAGTGTGAAGGCGCTCGGTTCGATCCCCAGTACCCCAAACCCAAAAGCTTTAAATGTACCTTAAAATAGTCTGGGGCTGTGAGTGTGGCTCAGTGGTAGAGTGCTTGCCTAGCATGTGCAAAAGCCTGGGTTCAATTCTCAGCACCACAACACTTAAATACATAAATAAACAATTGAATGCTCTACCAAGCTTTTTAGATATATGCTCCTTAAAAGTTCTAACTTATTTCTTCCCCAGATGTGGACTTTCACCTTTCCTCCAAAAAAGATGAAGAACAGATGTGCAAGAGACCTTATGAGAAGAATGAATTTGGATTTGGAACATTGTGGCTGACTACTTTTTGATAAGCAAAATTTGAAACCATTTAAAGACCATTGTATTCTAATTCAGCATTTCCTCAGATAAGAAGAAATCATCTCTACAATGTAGAAAATGTTACATTTTATAGAATTTTGTTTTAAATTGAAGCAGTTAAACTGTGCTCTGTATTTTACAGATTATGGGGATTCAAATTCTAGTTATGAGAAATTTCTTTTTTCTTTTAATAACCTTAGCCATTTTAAGTTTTTTCTTTTTGTCGGGATGATAGAGGCACTTGAAAAAAGAAATGATTTAGAAAAATTAAGTAACAACATCCTTGAGAAGTGAGAATGATTTTATTTTCCATCGCTTATTGTCTTAATCTGTTTTGTATTGCCTAACAGAATAGCATAGAGTGCATAATTTATAATGAACAGATTTATTTCTGATAGTTCTAGAGGCTAGAAGGCCCAAGGTCAAGAGGCCATGTCTCATGAGGGCCTCTAGCTGCATTATAACTTGGCTGAAAGCGTCATGGAGAGAAGAGAGCTTGAGGGCTCGCTTTATAGCCACCCCCGAGACAATGTTGACCCATTGTTGTGGCTGAATCCTCCACCTAATCTCCCCTGACAGCCCCCACTTCTCCGCACTGTGGCATTGGGGGTTTCGTCTCAAATGCGTGTACTTTGGGGACACATTTAACCACAGCACTTAGCAGTAGACAATTCACTTTGGTGGCTTCCTTTTTTGTTTTTGGCTAAATGGTCATGAGGCCAGTGTATCATGACTGTCTGCCTTTGTATTGCCATTCTGGCATTAAAAAGTCATGGGGAATAAATCATGGAGATGGATGAAGCAGGATAACAGGTATGTTTTCTTAGCAGATGACCAACTACCCCTCAGCTGTTGAGAGAGAGTTGTGATGGGAAACGGGTGCCATGTTTTCTTTGCATTTGAGTAATTGTCTTGGGTTTGGAAAACAGGCATCTTGATGAGCAGGGTCTTGTTTTTCCAGTGTTGCTGACCCCCTGCCCCCATTCATTGGCCCAAGCTGGGCTCAGTGGAGCTGCTCTTCTCTCTTGGCACATGGTCACTCATGTGGCTGGTAGGTGGGCTGAGACACTAGGATGGCTGGAGTCCTCAGGGTCTCTCCTCCATGTGGTCTCTGCATCACCTGCCGGGTGAGAGTGAAGCCTTTTACACGGCAGAGGTGGCTAGGCCCTCTTCAGACATAAGCCTAGGCCTGCTGTAGCCCCCTCCTTTGCCCTCCATCAATGACACAAGCCTCATGAAGAAGGTGTGCGGTGGAGGTGAAGCTCATGGGGGCCAGGGGTCTGACGGGCACTCACAGCCAGTGCCATGGAAACAGCTCTAGTGAATGCAAGCAGAGGCAGCTGCGACTGTGTGAAGCTGAAGCTGCTCGCAGTAACTGGTCGAAGCTGCGTGTCAGATGAGAAATAGATAGAGGGCCTTCCAGAAGCTTCTGAGCCAATTCTGACAGGCCTGCACATACTTTGTGAGCTATCACTTGGGGAAACTGGTCTGGGAAGGATGAATGTGTAAGGGGACAGCATTTGAAAGCAGAGCCACCCCATCTTTGCAACACCTGCAGCCCTTGGCCAGGGTGATGCTTTCTCAACACCCTGGTTGTTAGTCAGGCCTTGCCCACATGCACAGTCAACACAGCGAGGAGCAGTTGGGACCAGGCCTCTTGTCAGATTGAATGAGCCCATTTTTTTGGAAGCAGTAGGATTTGCTAGTGTTCTACCTTAAGTGCCTTCTCCGAAGATATCCCTCTTTGCCTCCTGTTGAATCATTCAGTGAGAGTATTTCAGTGAAAACATTATGGGCTGGCTTTTGTAATGATAATAATGTGCTCTGTGTCCTTACTCAGATTCTTCTTGCTTTGGCTCCTGACAGAAGGACTCCTTTTCCCCACCTTCCACTCTCTGGAAAGCCTGGGTAGCTGGGGGGTGCAGTGACTGCCATTGTCATAGATAAAATGTGCATCGATTCTTGCATGGAAGGCAGAATTGTTTCGGAGCACAAGTGTGGCCTCCAGGTGCCACCTTATTAGGGGGAGGTAATGACTCCTGTCTTCTTGTCAAGCCTACAAAGAAAGAGATTCCAGTTCAGTGTTTGCAGCCAGGATCGTGCATCCTGTTCTTTTTACTGCGTTGTCACATTGAATCATTTTTGATTTTGTGGTAATGCTTTGACTCTGGACTTCAGGGGCAAAGTCTTTCAGCAGCATACAGGGTTTGATTGTACAAACAAATCTGCCTGGAGCCGGTGATCGGTGATTTTTGTACTCAGAATGGAAATACCTGATCTTGGCAAGCTTTGTTGCAGCACATTGATTTCACTTTGGTTTCCCTCCACAGGGTCAGCAAACCATCCTGTTGTTATATAAACTGATGCCAGGACCAGATTCACAGTAGTGTCCAGGTCGCTGGGTCTGTCTTGTGGTAAAGGTGGTGGTGGGTTTTCAGGTGTGGTCGCTCTACATGTGGGAGAATCAGACAGTGGGGCTGGGAAGATGGGGATAGCTCAAGATGTGGGGTCGAATCAAGAACGAAAATGAAAGTTCCAAAGAGATGGTTCATGAGGATGTCAAAGGGCCCAGGGCCTGAGTAGTCAGTAGGAGGTGAATCAGGTTACCTGGAAAACAGGTGTACTTGGTGCCCATGTGGAATCTACTCTGGGTTGTTGGTGGATATTAAATATGGATAATATCCCATAGCTGGCTGACTATTTTATAATTAAAAGCCTAGGATTTTTATATCTGGGGTGAAGAAATTATCTGGCATGTGGCATTGAGGTGTTTTTTTAAAGCCAGATTTCAAGAGTCTTACTAGCTTTTTTGTTGTTGTTTTTAAAAGGCCCCTCATATCCAGTTTGTGGGCCTCATTGAAATTAATGACTTTTCCAACATGGCGAAATGGGGTGGGAAACTGTGTAGGACTTCTCTTGATATCCTTGCATTCTTTACAGAGCCTAGCTGCTTTATAACAGCCAAGCAAATGGTCGAGATTATTTTTAGGGGTTATTTTACTGGGGATTTTAAGAGCTAATACATCTGGGGTTGTTCTAGGTCAGGGGAATATGGAAAGGGATGCAGCTGTGAAGTGTTTTGTTGTAGATTAATCATCGTCCAGAGATGCTTAGACTGTAGAAATAAATGCAAGCCCACTGCAGGTCCTGTCTTCTGTATGTTGGCAGGGGAATAAAGTTTGAGATAGCAAGCACATGAGCCACCCTGATTTGAAGAGGTCTTTCTTAGGATCTGTTAGCCCTTAATTTTGTTGAAATCTTTTTCCTTCTTCCTCTTGAAAAATAAGTTCCCAAACATAGTTATTGTATCTTCCATCACTAAAAAGTTTATTCCTTTGTTCACTATGGGCAGTTCACACAAGGCAAAAATATCAAACTGTTGGTTTTAGTGTGTTGTATAACTTTACTGTATATCAAACTAATTTTTACAAGTTTTCATCCTAAACCTCAAATCATGTAATTAATAATTTGCCTGTTTATTTATGACCTAATTGTAATTCTTTCATTAATAAAAGCTAATGGAAAAGGACCCTTTATTAAGCTGATGACTACACCTACATTTAATTTTCCTGCAGTGTATGAAGTATTGTACCAGAGTATTAAAAGATATGTAATATTTTATTGATAAATCTATCCTTTAAAAGGAATACGTTTTAGGATGTCATCATTTTGATGTGAATCATGTAAATGTTGATAATATGCTGTTTATTATACATGTAGTGTTTCAAGAGATTCACTTAATTGCCTTTTGCCCACATATATTATGTAGTCTATTTGCAGTTGTTTTTTAGAAAATGACATTAAAAGGATAGTTCATGTAGAGAAACATTAGGGGATGTTAATTGTTTTGCCACCTGTATTTATGGGTGTTAGTTCAACTGCTTTGCTAGTTGCAAAGCCATATTATCAGAGTAAAAGTGTATTTGTAAACTGTATGGAACTAAAAATTAGGAATAAAACCATTTTCTTACATTATGGTATTTGTCACTTACTTCATAAGAAAGATCAGAAGCCTGACATAGTGGCTGCCTGTGATCCCAGCACTTGGGAGGCTGAGGCAGGAGGATCGCTCTGAATTTGAGGCCAGCCTGGGCTACACAGTGAGTTCAGAGCCAGCCTAAAATACATAGCAAGATTGTCTCAAAAACAAAACAAAACAAAGGCAGAAATGCCCTGGAAAAAAATGATCAGTTGGGGTGTCATACTGGCAGAGTGCTGGCATTGAGCAGCTGTTAGCTTGAAGGTGTCTGGAATACAGAATAGACCACTCAGCTCTGTGGCAATTGGCCCATCATCTCGTTCACAAAACACAGGGCACTGTGGCTGTGCCACATCCCAGCAAAGAGCAGCGACCAGCACCCCTTGACTGGTGGCTGGCTGCAGGGGAGCCAGGGCAAGTAATTCCTGTGGTAGATCTACATGAAGATATCTGAGGCCAAGACAGAGTGAGACAGCTAATTACAAGTGGGGCGAGTGGGCAGATGGCAGGGCCTTGACTTCTGGTAGAAGGAGGTCTCTCCAGTGTTGCCATACTGGCCACTAGGGGTCTGAAAAGGGGCTGCACACAGATGCCTCAGTCTATCATCTCTCCTGCGCTCCAGGGCTGTGTGGAGGGCAGTGGCAGTCCCCTGTCCCTAGGCATGCTGTGGAAGAACCTTCTGATGCCATGGCCTCTCTCATAAGAAAGATCCCCTAGAAATCGTGTAGATGAAAGACAAAGCAGGCTGCACTCCCCACATCAGTGTTAGACAGCTGAGGGCAGCTTGGTTGCCATGTAATAAAAAAGGCTTCTGGTATGGCAACCAATTGGGGTCCCATCCCGTGTGCATCCCCGTTCTCTCCACTGTGGAGGTGTGGAGAAGGGGCTGGTGACCTCAAGGCATGGCTATGTTGCAGTGCTGCTTTTCACTCCCTAATAACTATGCAAGTTGCCAATCTGAATGTGCAAAATAATGCTGCACTGGAAAGGGAGTTGCTATCAGTGGTGACAGGAGTTACCAGTGTGCTGATACGTCAGTTGAGGTCAGTCTATAAATCCCCAAATACAGCTACTGTATGATATAAAATCCAGCTACCGCAGAGCGCTGGCAGTGACGGAGAGAGGATTAAAATGTACCGGGGTGCAGTTAGATGGGAGGAATGACTTGTAATATTCTATGTCATAGTAGGGTGAACTGGTCAGCTTTCTGTCATTGCGATAAAATACCTGACAGACACAACTTAAGAGAGGTTTATTTGGCTCAGGGACTCAGAGGTTTAAGTCCATGGGCAGCTGACTCCAAGGTGGGACATCATGGTGGCAGAGCCTGGCAGAGCACAGCTGCTCACCTCACAGTGGCCAGGAAGCAGAGCAGGGGAGTAGCGCCAGAAGAGAAGGGGCCAGGGACCAGATATGGTCCCCAAGGTCTTGCTTCCATGACCCTCACAGACACACCAGAAGGTCTTTACTCATCAGCTAGGCTTCCCTTAATCCAGTTAAGTCGACAGCTGACACACAGGGCAACTATGGCTAACTACAATTATCATGTGTTTTAAAATAGTAGAGAAGATTCTGAAGGTTCCCAACACGAAGAAAATAACAATGATTAAAGTGATAAGTATGCCAATTGCATCTATTGCAATATCTACTGTATCCCGGGCCAGAGATTTAGCTCAGTGGTTTCGCCACCTGCTGCGCAAGCACAAGGACCCGAGTTCAATCCCTGGTACCAAAAAAAAAAAATCATACTGTATCCCATAAATATGTGCACTTATATGTTAATTTAAAAATTAAAAAAATAACTACCAAAATAAGGGTTATAAGCAAGCAATACGATACTGAAAGACCTGTGTGCAGTTTGTGGACAAAGGAATTGTATGTGATGCTTAGACTGGATGTCATCCCTGTCTGGAAAGAGCATGGTCTACTGAGCTGAAAGTCATCTTGGGGGTTCTAATAGTCTCTCGCTCTTGGATGCACTGCAACAATGTAGTGCACATATATTTTAGTGTCTCCATTCTAGATCTGTAATTCTAGATCTACCCATTACATTAACCACTCAGCACCATCTTGAGTAATCTTGGCTAGTTTTGCTAGAATTCCCTAGTATAACTCATGGTTTGGGATGAGTCATTTCATTCTGAATATAATAATTACTGAGATTGATTCTCTTTTGTTTTTGGTGCTAGGGATGGAACCCAGGGCCAAGTGCTCTACCACGGGCTGTACCTCCAGCCCAAGATCACTTTTTAAAAAAAATTTAATTTTATTGGTACATTTTTTTTTTTAATATACAATATGTCAAGATCACTTTTTTGCAAGAGACAAATCTGGTGCACAAAGTGTTTCTGGAGCCAGGCAGGGTAGTGAACATCTATGATCCCAGCACGCAGAGGCTGAGGCAGGAGGATTGCTGCAAGTTTGAGGCCAGCCTGGCCTACATAGTGACTTCAAGTCCAGCTTGAACTAAATAGCAAGATCTTGTCTCCAAAAAAAGTGGTTTTTGATTATAATTGTTTTTATATAAATTAACAGTTTGCTTAAATTTGAATTTAATTACATTTAAAAAGTTAAGTAGCAATTTAGGTTTTCATCTAATAAATTTCCTTTAAGAAATATAACCTTGTATCTGATCAGAACTATCTTAGAAAAATCAGGTGGTCTAGGCCCCTGAATTTTAGCAACTTTGCTCAGTGTATATTCCAAGTGGTGATACTGAGTTTGGTCTCCTGATTCAGACTTGTATATCCATCTTTCTTTTTAAATGTTTTTATTGTACTAAAATATACAGGACACAGTTTACCATCTTGCCTATTTTTCGGCCCCCCCCTTTGGTTTTTTTGAGACAGGTCTTACTATGCAGTTCAAGCTGGCCTTGAACTCACTGTGTAGCCAAGGCTGGCCTCGAACTCACAGAGATCCTCCTGCCTCAGCCTCCCGAGTGCTGGGATTACAGGTGTGCGCCACCAGGCCTGGCCATCTTGACTATTCTTGACGTGTAGTTCAGTGGCATTAATACATTCACACTGGTGATTCACACCATCCCTGTCCATCTCTAGAACCTTTGCCTTTATGACTCTCAGGCCTGTGCTGGGGACAGAACCTCGGGTCTCACACTTGCCCAGTAAGTTCTCTACCATTGATCCACACCCCCAGCTCCGTCTGTTCTTGGTTCAAAGCTGCTATTTAAACAAAATGTAAAAAGTTGAAAAGAGCACACAGTGGATAATATCCCTTCCACCTTGACTCTCACTAACAATGTTTGCTGTTACACCCAAGAGCCACAAGCAGCTTTGAACATATGTCCCACCATAAAAGCTCTGGGTACTTGGATTTTACATGCATCACTTGGATAAATTATGCCAAATTGTCACCCAGTGAAGCTGAACCAGCCTGTTTCTTCATGCCTCTGTCACCTTCCTGTATCATCAGAATCTCTTTTTTTTTTTTTGGTACCGGAGATCGAACTCGGAACCTTGCACTTGCAAGGCAGGCGCCGGAACCACTGAGCTAAATCCCCGGCCCATATCATCAGCATCTTGCTTCCTTGCCCATCTGATGGGTGAGAGATGCTAGTCCCGTGTCATCTTTTTATGTACCTGTCGATCCTTTCCTGTGAACCCTTTACATCTCTTGACATTTTTCTGTTGAGATCTGGGTCTTGTCTTTCAATTTAGGAATGAAGGTATTGAATTCTTTACAACCAGTCGACACTACTGCATGTATCGAGTTACCAAGATCAGCTTCAATAACATGCTCTTCCTTCCTTGCGAGTGGGAGAGATACACCTGTGTCTGCTCTGCAGTTTTGACCTTGCTGCAATTACAACTGCCCAGTTCTCCCTGGAGATGGGGAGAATGGCCTTGGGAACCGCATCCTTGGTGCTTCCAGCATGCTGCAACCCTCTGCCAGCCCCCATGTCTTAATTATCCTGGGTGCTGAGTTGGGAATTTTTCCAGATTTTCCTCTATATTCAGAGGTTCCCAGCAGTGTGCACCCCTGTGTGCACCCAGTCAGTCACTCATTAATGAGTACAATGGGTGCTCTGGGGAATACAAAATAAATATCTGTCTTAGCACCTGTCTTGAATGACTTTATGGCCCACTTAGGGAGAGAAGACACATAGGCTGCTTACAAGGTGGAAAATAGAACAGCTATAGGGAAGGTTTGGACGGAGACTATGGGGGAGGAATTGAGGAAATGATAGTACTTTTTATTTACTAAGTGACAGGTGCCAAACACTGTCAGCTATTTATACTGATTATTTCTTCCTTCTTTCCTTCCTTTGTCCCTCTGTCCCTTCCTCCCTCCTTTCCAAATCTCTCTCTTTTTTCTTTTCTTTTTTGCAATGGTGGGAATGGGACCCAGGGCCTCGCACATGCTAGGCCAGTGCTCTACCACCAATCCACACCCCAGCTATTATTATTTCTAATCACACTGCTGTGTGCCCAGTGCCCACCATGGTGCCTGGCAGCAGGCACCCAGCAGTTGAGGGATGAATGGCTGACGTCCATCATCTGAAAAGGGTCTCACTGGGCTCCAGACAGGGTGTCCGCAGGGCCGCGTCTCTTCTGCAGGCTCTCAGGGGATCTATTCCTACTTCTCCCAGCTGGTAGAGGTCTCATGCATGCCCTGCCCAAGGGCTCTTTCCTCCACCTTCTGAGTCTGCTGCACACCCAATTTCTCACTGGATATCTCTACTCTCTTTTTCACTAATAAAGGCCTTGATGGAAATGTCTGGCCCACCGGGTAATCCAGAATAATCTTCTTGTTTCAAGATTCTTAATTTAATCACCATTGCAGGGTCCCTTTTGCCACGCACATGTTCCAGAGACTGGGATGTGGACCTCTCTCTGGGCTGATTATTCTGCTACCACGGCACTGGTAGGCCTCAAAGACATAGGAATCTGGGAACCTGAATCTGGACCTGGAAAAGTCTGGAGCCGTAGAGAAGGACGCTCTGGTTGGAGCTATAGGCTCATAAGAGCTCAGCAGG